ATTTCATTAGGCAAATCTGCTGCACAAGACCTTTTTAAAGTGTTGAAGAGCAAAGATGTCAGCTTGAGGACTAAGGTGCACCTGACCCAAGCCATGGCATTTTCAGTCACCTCTTATGCATGTGAAAGTTGTACAGTGAATAAGGAAGACCGTAGAAGAATTGACACATTTGAGCTATGGTATTGAAGGAGAATACTGAAAGTGCCACCGGCTGCCAAAAGAACCAACAGATTCGTTCATGTTGTAATAAGTGCAGCCAGAGTGCTCCTTGGAGGCCAGGATGGCCAAACTTCATTTCTCATATTTTAGACATACTGTCAGAAGGGACCAGTCACTGGAGGAGGATATCATGTTTAGTAAGGTGGAGGGTCACAGAGAAAGAGGAAGACCCCCAGTGAGATGGACTGGCAAAGCGGCAGCATCAATGGACTCAAGCATGGCAACAGGAGTGAGGTTGGCCCAGGATCGGGCAGTGTTTCGTTCTGCTGTGCATGAGGTCGCTATGGGTCGGTACTGACTTGATGGCACCTAACAACAACAACATAAACACTTGGTGCGGCTGCACTCATAATAACCCTGAAACAGATCTTATTTCTGCTCCAGTTTTATAGATGAACAAACTGGAGCACCGAGGTGCTTACCCATGTCATTGACTATATACATCAAGTACTCACTTATGCTCCTGGCATCTGGTCTTTCCACAGATGGGGACACAGAGAGCGTCTTATTGGTGGGACCCAGAGCGCCAGCCACAAACCTCTTAATTCCTTTGGGAAAAGAAAATGGAGTATGAATCTCTAGGTAATTCAACCTTTTTGCTGTAAATCAATACATACCTATAAGATGTTCCATAGCATAGAGGTCTATACAGTCCCATGCCCCACAACTCTGAAATCCAAAAACTCCTAATAGCCTAAATGTTTTTCTTTATTTGGCAATAAAACGTGACTGGTCCTGAACTTACAGGTCCTTGAAAATGTCAATTTAGCGCAAGTTCTGCATGCCTTACAGTAGCATGCCATGTGAAATGGTGCCTAGTACTATACTGCAGACTCTTCATTAAGGAATAATACTAAATCAAGACGAGTAACTACAAGGAGTCCTGTTGTGGTGCTATGTAGGATAAACACTAGACTGCTAATCACAAAGTCAGTGGTTCAAGCCCACTAGCTGCTCCTCGGAAACCATAAAAAGGGTCAGTATGAGCCGGAACTGTCTATATGGCACTTAACAACAACAACAAATTATAAAGCCTGAAACTGAAAAATGAAGCAAATTGAATAAGCATTTTTAATAACTGTTTAGAAAGAAACTGCAGTCAACAATTTGGCCTTTGGCCCTGGCTCCTGAGAGCTAGACCACAGCTGAGACCATTAAGTGTGACCAATCTGACCAATAGGGACCACCTGGGGGCCCAACGCTGACTCAGGCTCAGGAATCCACACGGAGAGACCAATAAAAGCTTTGGGAGATGGGTGCTCCAGAATCTTCCAGGCTGGGAGCAGCAAACATCAGATCTCAGGAAGGTAAACATGTCCCCTGGGGACATAAAAACTATGTGGGAGCCCTTTACCAGATTCCCTGTGTTTATATCTTTCTCCATCTAGATTAAAGATAGCTTTGTCCCTGCAGTTTGAGTGTTTTAGATGGACAATCAAGCTTAAGAAGCAGAGAAGGGGCCGGTACCTACAGACCTGGCCCAGAGAGGTGAGGAGGAGAGAGAAAGGATGTGCTGTAGTGATCCGGGAGGGAAGCGGGCATTTCCCAGGACTGCCTTTCCTCTAGACTTCATAGACAGACTGAGAAGGTGTGATTTTACACCGCTCAACAAAAGCCAGGAGACAGATACCTTTCTAATTCTAAGCCCTGTGTAAAGCCTGGTCTCTGCTTTACAATTCACTGGAGGAGCCTACTGACAACTTATCACACAGCCTTTGGACAGCTTATAAGTCTGAATACTCTTCATGTTCCCAAAGCTTAACAGGAACGTTATTGTAAGAATGTCCGTATCTTTCTCTGCTCTCATAGCTCCGTGGCCTCCAAGCTGAGACTCTGTTTGGGCCTCACTGGGTGCACTCCCATGGATTTAAACATTATCTCCGGAAACAGCTCTGTAAACTGAGCTGGTCTTCATTAGTATGCTATGAATTTAGTTCCCTAACACTTTAGCTTTACATCTTTCCTGCTGGCAGTAACTTCACATTTCTAAATCATAGGAGGCCCCGTACATTTCTTCTATTCCTTTTCCTCCCTCAAAGCCCCCCAACCAGCTGGTGCCCCCATGTTCTATGGCAGCCAGCCAAGAGGTTGGTTATTCTGGGAGCACCCCAGCAATACTGAACCTATTCTCACACTTCTTTATGTGTAGCACAGAGCCTTCAAGTAGACCAGCAGAATACAGTAGAAAATGTGCAGAAGGCAATAAAAACCTCTTATCTAGTAAGTCTGTCATGGTGATGAGGGTGAACTTAAAAAAAAAATATGAAAATAGCCTAATCATGACCAAAATAGCAACACTCAGCTGCCATTTTAGTAAACACAGGGAGAAAAAGCAGGTAAGTTCTAAGATACAAAGAGCTTCACACAGTTCACGGACAAATGGAATTCCAAGATAATGGAATGTTTCCATGAACGTTCCGAAGGCCCTTTGTATATAAGGAAGCCAGGATTCCTGCTACAAAGTTAGGCTGGAACCTCCACCAGGGAACACACCAGGGTCACTCGGAACCCAAAGCCCATAGGAATAAAGACGATTCCGAGATGGTGGCTGCTTGATTACGAACCTACAGAGAAGTTACTTACACACAAGTACCACATAGTGTCTTCAGTGTCGCTAGTGATGGGACCACTGTCAGGCAAGGAGAAACGGCAATAAGGACAGCACATGACGGCTGAGAAAGCCACAAATGGTCTGCACAAAAAGGGAGAAGAGCGTTCCTTACCTGTCTCCAGAGTCACCTCCTCAGCGGCTTGCCTGGCTAGCGCTGCAGAGCACTTGTTCATCTGGTAGGCCTAGCACAGCAAGCACATGTGTTAGTGTGTCCTCCTCTTCCTCCTTCACACAGTGAGGACAAAAGGCCATGGCCACCCAACACCCAGTACTGTCCCATAAGGAAATGGGAACTGAGCTAATGTGAGGTCTACATGAAGCCTTAACCAAGGCCTAACAGATGCCCAGCTCATAAAAGGAAACAGGAAAAGGCAAAGGTCCTTGGGAATTGCTTTTAAGTTCTTCCTCAAAACCAAGAGCTGGCTGGTAAAAAGGGGGCAATCTCTGGACATCTGGCACCTCTGACAAGAAGATGATGGGGTTAAATATTCTGAGAATGAGAAAACAGATTAGTGAAGGAAAAAGCACAGGCTTTAGAGACAGGAGAGTTGGTTCTATGACTAGCTCTGATCCTGCCTAACTGAGAAACCTTGGGCAGTTCTAGCAACTACTCCAGGCTCAATCTCCTTCACTGTACAACAGCTGGAACCAGTGATTCTGAATTTTTTGTAGATCATTAACATCTTGAGAACCTGAAACAGGGTCAGAGACTCTCTCAACAGAAAACTAAAACAAGTACATAAGGACACAGTGTCTACAACTTAAGGGGCTTCCTGGACCTCCTGAAGATCTTCCACAAACCACATTAGGGAAGTCCTAAGATAAGTGAGTGAGCTTCGTGACACCCTAACTCTTAACTGGCAAACTACCCCTGCAGTCTGCTTTGATAAATAAAGTTTCATTTGGAACACAGCCATGTTCATTCGTTTACATATTGCTTAGGCTGGTTTTGCACTATAACAACTGCAAACAGTTGTAATAAATATATGGGGATGACAGCCTTTGTTTCCGCCTTTGTAAGTCACATCTTACACGAGTGGAATCAGGAGGTATAGTGTTGTTATTAGAGAGCTTCAAAAAGGTCATGGAGAAATGGAATTTCCCCACAAATTGGAAAGGGAACCAAATCTACCACCAAATGTACTTTAAAAGGCCTCACAGAGCTGCGCACACAGTCAGTGATTCTGCCTTTGTTAACAGCCACTGTGTAATAAATACCATTTTATTTTATTCCTATCCATAAAAGAAGTTGGAAAATGAATACGCTAGGCATCAGTTTGACTATGGAGCTCTGGGAAATTTTTCTGTCTGGCAACTACCAAAGGCAGCCCACACTCGTTAGCACCTTAGGAGACAGAATGGAACTCTTACCAGGTGTTCAAGACCATAATCAGCCTGTGCAATACTGGTACTGCTAAAAGTATTTGTTTCAATGATATCGGCCCCAGCCAGCAAGTATTCCTGCAACAAGAGATGATAACGTCAATGATCACGACTTTCAGCATCCCTGACCCTCAACAACACACTTTTCATCATTTACCACCACCAATTATCTTTTGACCAGCTATAGCTAGAGATAAAAATACACACACACCAAAAAAATTAAGCCGATTGCCAGCAAGTCAATTCTGACACAAGATGACCCCAGGTATTTCAAAGTAGAACTAAGCTCCACAGGGTTTTCATTGGCTGTGACATTTAGGCCTGACTTCTGAGGTGCTTTGGGGAAGATCTGAATCAGCCTTTTGGTTAGTAGCAGCATACTTAACCATTTCCTCACCCATAAAGTCGTGGTGTGGCGCTATAGGATATGCAATAGAATGCTGACTGAAAGATTACCGGTTCAAACCTTGGAAACCCTATACAGGGTCACTAGGAGTCAGAACAGACTCGATGGCACACAACCACAACAAAGGACTCCTAAGAAATACAAAAAGGTAAAAGAATTTCACAGAAAAGGATGTAATGTCAATAAGCACAGAACTTGAATTCAGACCACGTTCACACACTATTTCTGGATTTTGTGAGTATAGACAAATTCCTTAGACTCTGAGTCTGTTTCATCATCTGAAAGTACTGAAGTCTTCCACAGGGGAGCTGCATGTGGAAAAAAGATCACATGTCTGCGAAGTGATGCGCATCCAAGGGAAGTCAGTTCTGTTCCCTCCCCTTTGCCCTGTTTCAGCACTGTCGGATCCCAAGAGAACTACATTACAGTCTGAGATCTCAAGTTCTGAATGTCCTGCCTTGCCACAGTGGTTTCAGCCCACAGTTCCTCCTAGACCCTCAGAACCAGCTCTGCAACCTCACCGGAACATGAGGACACAGGGACTCTCCTGTTCTCCTCTGGTCTTCTTGGTTTCATTCTATGCACACCATATTAACTTCTATCTGACTGTTGTTGTTGTTAAGTGCGGTCGAGTCAATTCCAACCCACAGCGACCCTGTATAGGGTTTACAAGCAGCAGCTGGTAAGCTTGAACCGCCGACCTTGCAGTTCAAACGACTTTGTAGTCTGACGCAACAATTTATTTGCTGTGTGCCACCATCAAATCGATTTTTAATTTATAGCCCCCCCCATGTGACATTTTAGACCTGCCCGGCTTGATCAAAGTCACTGGGTGGGTTTGAACCACCATGCTTTTGGTCAGCTGAGACCATAACCATTGTGTCACCAGGGCAGGGCCCCTTTAGATAAACTATACTATATTCATTTTATTTTATCATGCTATGTAGCAGATAAAAACCATGACACTTATCTTAAAAAATATACATATATTGCCATTAGGTCAATGCTGACTTAAAGCAACTCTAAAGGACAGAGTGGAGTCCTGGTGTGGCGCTGCGGGTTAATGCGCTGGACTGCAAAGTAGGTTTGAACCGCAAGATCAGTGGTTCAAGCTCACCAGCTGCTCCTTGGAAACCCTATACAGGGTTGCTAAGGGTTGGATCCAACTCAACATCACTTAACAACAACGACTACAACACAGGACAGAGTAGAACTGCCCTTAGGGTTTCCAAGGCTGTAATCTTTATGACAGCAGGTTGCCATATCTTTTCCATAGACCAGTTGGTGAGTTTGAAACTCTGACATTTTGGTTACCAACAGAGCATTTAACTACTAGTCCCACCAGGACTCCTTTGACATAAATCTGCTGACACAGACAGATCTTCAAGAGTGTTACAGTGCTGCAGTGAATGAGCTGATGTCTTCTAGACAGAGTCTGTAACTCCCACCAATGTTTCTGCCCTGCTAGGTCTGCGTAAGAGACGGTGGGAGAAGTTACTGATATGATAGGATGACAGGATTCAGCTGTGGATGCTAGCAGATTGTTGGTGATTAGTGCCGTCAACTTGGTTCTGACGCAAAGTGATCCTTTATAGGGTTTCCGAGAAGCAGCTGGTGGATTTGAACCACCAACCTTGCTGTAATTGCTCACTGTAATTATAAAAACTGCAAACTCTTGTTGTTGCTGTTAGGTGCCATCGAGTTGGTACCGACTCATAGCAGAACGAAACACTGCCTGATCCTGGCAGTGTCAAGCTGACATCTTTGCTCTTCAACACTGTAAAAAGGTCTTGTGCAGCATATTAGCCTAATGCAATACGTTGTTTGACTTCTTGACTGCTGCTTCCATGAGTGTTGATAGTTGATGAAAAGAATGGAGTCCTTGACAACTTCAATCTTTCTCTGTTGATAAGAATGCTGTTTATTGGTCCAGTGGTGAGGATTTTTGTTTTCTTTATATTAAAATGTAATCCATACCGAAGGCTGTGCTCTTGATCTTCATCAGTAAATGTTTTAAGTCCTCTTTACTTTCAGCAAGCAAGG